TTTTGAAATGTTGCCAAATTGTAAGGCCAAGCCATTGTTGTCAAGTGACCACATAGGGAATCCTTGAAACCTCTGCCATCCGAACCTAATTTTGAATTTATAAACACAGTAGAGACTTTCCCGATTGTCATTCCTCCACATGTCGATGAAATTCAGAGGAAACTTTACATATAAGTGGTGAATGTAAACAATTTCAAAGTGACCTAGATAACAATTTCATTAATGGTATTGGTTTCTTATTTTCAAATATGATCTGTTTAGAGACATTAATGTTAGGATTTTTAATCCTAATTTTGTGCATTACAATGTGTGTTGGCAATCCCGTTCCAAAGACAACAATGTGATTTTGTGTTTATTCATTTTTGTCTCATTTGTTGTTTGAATCAAAAGATCTTGTGTAGAAATGGATTATAATGTTTTGTCTCAGCATTGCCAAATACGGCAATTGTTAAGATTTTTATCCTAAGGAAATTAATGATTTGTGGTTTGGAAATACCTCTCTTGACAAAACTTGTTATTATGATTTTGGGCAAATTACCTATACCCCCCTTGATAGCTAAATTACATATTCCCCCTTGAGGTTTCGAGAATTACATCTCGCCCCACCGGGGTTAATGTCGTTAAGGGGTATTGACTAAAATGCCTTTTGATTGGTACATCATGTCAAGTTAGTACTTGTAAAAAGGTTGTATTGTATTGCATTTTATATAGGTTTAACAATTTCATAAGCTTCGCTTTCTCCATTTCTTCATCTGAGAGAAAGATAGAAGAGGCAATGCAAAGGGGAAAGTGAGGGTATCGTTGTTTATTGTTGGATGCGTAGATCTAAAAGAAAAAGAGACACTGCAAAGAAGTTTAGATTGTAGATTGAAGAAAAAACTGAAATTTGTATGTCTATGTTGCTTTGAAACACTGTAAGTGATCCATTTTTACTCTCTCATACTAAGCACTGAAATTTGGGAGTTTAGGATTCTCTGTTCATGCTTTTTTTATATATATATAAAATTTGTTTTAGGATTATTTTCTTACGAAATTTTGTGAGTGAAATTCATTTTGGGTTTTGTCTTTAATCGATTTTTTTGGGTCTGTATTTTACCCTGTTAAAAAAAATTAGGGTTTAAAGGTTTGTTTTCAATCTATTTTAGGGTTTTTTTTTGGGTTTCTTTCTACCTTTTTTTTAATTCAAATTTTAGGGTTATAGGGTTTGTTTTCAATTAGTATTTTAGGGAATTTTTGTTTTATTTGTTTTCTACTCTTTCTTTTACTAAAATTTTGGGTCTATTTCAATTAGTATTTTTGAGAATTGATTTGGTTTGTTTTCTACTCTTTCTTTTTCTAAAATTTGTGTTTCAATCAGTATCTTTGGTGTTTTTTTTGTCACACCCCAAATCCGGGCATGACCGGCCGTGGCCCACAGGGACTTAGCCCAAGGCACACGTAAGCCTAAACACGAATCCAATCACATTGAACAACTGAACAATAGTCCAATAATAAATAACCAAAACTCAATCCAGACATGCCACAATTATAAACGGCAAAATCAACCGTAATCAAAAACCAACCAAACTTATGGGATATAAACAACCCACATATAAAAAATAATCCTAAATGAACTTCGATAAGAATAAATATAAATATGCACAAACTTGACATAACACTCTAAACTAAAGGAATGCCCTAGAGGTCCATGCAATTGAGTCCCCGCTACGCCATGAGTCCACTCTAAGTCCTTCTAACACCTGGAAATGGTAAACAACTAAGTCAACTGATAGCTCAGTGAGTAGTAACATGGATAGTAAATACAGTTTTGAAAACAAGGTTCAATTCCAAAATAAGATATATATCACAGAAACTAGATTGGCATACAGTTTGGTAAATACAATCTGTTTAAAAAAGAAGGTTCCACAAATCAACACTTAAAATACTCATGTCTCGCAAGAACATGATAAACGACATGTTCCACTTAAAACAGATTATAACATGAACACCAATAATATTCTGGGTACCAAGAAAAACAAATAATCTGCCACACATTTCTCAGGCAATAAGCCCCGTTGGATCCAATACCGAACTAAGAGTCATCCTCAGGGTGGCACCTGGGCCTTTTCTCAAAGACGATCCGATTGAAGGTCACCTAGTTGTTTTTAAAGGTCTGTTCCTTACAATCGTTGAGCACTAGAGTCATCACAGCCCAACCCGGGTCTGTTCCCTAGTGGCCAGAGTCACCACACACAGTGGAATAATTTCCCTGGACTAAATACACACATGGTCCCAATAATCAATACACATCAGTTTCGCAAAACATGGTACTTCATCATTATAAACATGAGACCAAAACAAATAGTTTACAGTATGCCAAGTTCACACATGTTTCAGAAATAATTTGATTCAATTGATAATATAATAATTTATCAAAACAGTATAATCATGAAATAACAATTTAATTTTCCAACAGTTCAGGGTAGGGGAACATTTACAAAAATATGTAGCATGAAACTACTCACCTGAAACGCAATAATATAATCCTCGAATAGAGTATGAAAGTCCAACTAGTGCCCTGAACCAATATGAAAACTACACGTCACTACTAATTTAAAAATACTAAAGAATACGAACTAAGTAACCCCAAACTAAAGCGCACTAACACGGCTCAACCCAACTCACCATTACTCTTAAATATTACCTAAGTTCATATTCTTCAAGGTCTAAAATCACCAAAGACATAGATTCCGATCGAAACTTAACTAAAAATTAACTTTAAGATAAAACAGTGTTTTAAACAAGTTTTCCCAATCTATTCGCCAAACTTTGAAAATTACAAAACCCACTCCACACTATTCGAAAAATTCCAAAAACCTCCAGATATCAACTAATATATCCTAAGTTTCAAACCCAAATGGTTTCACTTGATTTGCTTAACAAAATAATTTTCTACAATTAATTATATCCAAACAGGTTGTTTCTGCAGCACTTTAAAGAAATTGACGGTTCTATTAATATACACGAGCAATCAATGCAAGGCCAAAAACATACGAAACTAGTCTCGTAACCGGTTCTAATGACACTAATTTGATAATTTTTGGATTTATACCCAAAGAGAACAACACTCCCGAATTTACTATTTCGGACTGGTTTCCTGGACAGATTTGAATACCTCAATTTATATGGATTTCAACTCCCAAAAATTATGAAAAAATTCAGATATACAATTCAATATGTAATTAATCTACTGTAAAAATTTCAGATTAAAATTCATCCGTTTGATATGGTTTCTTGATTTTTAAAGTTTGAAATAAAAATTCCTAGAGAAAGCATAGCTTTTATTACAAATTTTACAACAATTCTTGTGAAAACCTAGGAGGCCACACAGCACAACACACCCAAAGCTCTCCTTCTTGGCTACGACAATAATCTTGATGATTGAAAAACCCCTCTCTTTTCTTCATAAACCCACGGCTGCTAGGGCTGCTAGTGTTGTGGAAAACAATTATAACAAGAGTTAGGGTTTGTGTTTATTTTATTTTATACTAGTGGTGGGCACACTTAGGTCAAATAGATAGATAAATATACAAAATACATATATAAGTTACATGCAACTCAAATGGTAAGAGCCTAACTTATTAATTTTATGGTCTAGAGTTCAAGTCACACCCTCTTCTCTAATTTTTTTTTTTAATAATAAATCTTGCTTCTAAATCAATGACTTTCACCATAAATTTATTTTAGGTTTAAAAATTAATTAAAGGATCCTCCAATAATATTTAATTTGCACCTTAGAATTCACCACAAAAATATTTGAGATTGTAATATTATTATTTAATTATTTACTTAATTTTTATATTCGGGTTCTCACATTTTTGGATTTGTTTTCTACTCTTTTATTTACTAAAATTTTGATGTTGTAATGTAAGCTTGTTGTGTAGATGCCTTCTGATATTCATGAATTTTGTGATGAATTTTTTGTGTTTAGGACAATGGCTGATTCCGTGCTATATGACATAGTAGTACACTTTAATGGTTCTGTGAGTCACATTTTGAATGTTAATCCTTACAAGTATGACTACATGCAATTGTTGATTGATGCACTCACTAATGTACCTGGGAATTTTGGTGTGGGGTTAAATTTGTACATTACAAATACACACACTAAGAGTAAGATGGAGGTTAAATCTGATCAAGATTTTATTGAAATGTTTAGTTCAAATTCTGGTACTAAAGTGATTAATATTTTTCTGAAACTTGATCAACTTTTACCTTCATTTGTCGTAACTGATACTCCTACTAGTGGAGAGGGACACGTGAGTGGTAGTGGCACAAGTATGAGAGGTGGTGTGGGTGGTAACATTGGAAATAGATTGGTAGTATTTGATGATTTATTTAGCAATGTGGATGACTACAATGATGTTGATTGGACTGGGTTAGGGGATTTTGAATTTAATAAAGCAGATGCTGATGAAGAAAATGCTTATATCATTAGTGATGAGGATGATGAGGACACTTCAGATAATGATGAGGGTAGTAATGGGTCAAATAAACCAATTGAGGCTAATGATGAGGGGATATCAGACAATGAATATGATGATATATGAGGGAAACATTCCACTGATGAAGAAGATGTGCAAGGTGTTAATGTTGACAGATATATGAGGGGGGAAATGTTTGAAACAAAGAAAGGGAAGAAAATAACATTGGAGAAAGGAATGATATTTGATGTGTATCACTTCAGGATTGTGCTCCAGGAATTTGCAATTAAAAGAGGTTTTAAATTGATTAAAATAAAAAATGAGAAGAAAAGAGTGACTAGCATATGTGTTTCCTCGATGTGTGAATGGAGAATTCATGATTCTCTATTATCTGATGGGGTGACATATAAGATTAAGACATTGGGCCCTGACCATACATGCATTAGAGTATAAAGGAATACTGAAGCAACAACATCTTGGATTGCTACGAAGTTTGAAAAAACTCTTAGAGGGAATCCTGGGATTACTTTAGAGGCAATGCATGATGAAATAGCTGAAAATTATGGATTGGAGACTACAAGGATGCAATTGTACAGAGGAAAGAGGAAAGCCATGGAGACAATTGAGGGTAATCATGCAAAGACTTACACCAAACTTCCAATGCATGCTGCAGAAGTGTTGAGGACCAATCGTGGTAGTTTGGTCAAAATTGAAAGGGAAAGAAAGCCATCATCTAAGCCAAACTTACCTCCTTTCCTACCAATATTCAAAAAAAAATTTCTTTCATTTGCAGCCATACAACATGGCTTTAAAGAAGGTTGCAAACCTTTCATAGCTATGGATGGGTGTCATTTGAAGGGACCATTTGGGGGCATATTGTTAGCTGCAGTTAGTCTTGATGGAAATAATGGTCTTTATCCTATTGCAATTGTTGTGGTGGAGAGTGAATGTAAGGATGGTTGGGCCTTTTTCCTTTACCACTTGAACACCATTTTTGGTAATGGCCCCCAAAACATGCCATTGACAATCATGTCTAATGGTCAAAAGGGCATTGTGCCAGCCATGAGACAAGTAATACCCCAAGCAACTCATAGGAGGTGCTGTAGACACATTTTTAGCAACTTGAAAAGCAAATTCCCTGGTTTAAAGATAAAAAGAGCCTTTTGGGTTGTAGCTAAAGCTTACACTGTCAAGGATTTTAACATTGCAGTGGGACAAATGTTGGAGTTATCTTCCAAAGCACATAGCTGGCTTTCTAAATTTCTAGTTGAAATATGGGCAAGACACACATTTGATCATAGGGTGAAGAGTGAACATGTTACTAGCAAAATGGTGGAGTCATTTAATAATTGGATTGGTAATGTTAGGGGTAAACCTATCTTGACACTGTTGGAAATTATCATAAGTTACATAAGAGGTTTGAAGAGGCCGCTTCATGGCAATCTTTGGTAACCCTTAACATTAAGAAGAAATTGAATGAAGTGGTTCTTCGGTCTAGGCTTTGTAAAGTGACTTTTTCAAGATAGGAGTATCAAGTGGTTGAAGGTGTGGTGTCTTATATTGTGAACCTACAAAGAAGGTCATGTTGTCACAAGATATGCGACATAAGTGAAGTCCCTTGCAAGCATGCAACAGCTTGCATTACTCATAAGAGGATGAACTTGGAGACCTATTGTGACACAATGTACTACAAACACATTTATTTTAAGGCATATGGGGAAATTATACATCCAATGCATGATGAGAGTTTATGGGGTCCAGTTCTTGGAGATGAGTTGAAGCCTCCACTTCTTAAGAGGATGCCTGGAAGACCTAGAAAAAGTAGGAGAAGAAAAGTTGATGGGGCTGGACCATCAAAAAGATCATGCACTGTGAGGTGCATCATTTGCAACCAGATTGGGCACAATAAGAGGATATGCTAGAGGGCACCTATTAGGGGTAGGGAAATGGGCACAAATGAGTCTACTCAGAGGGGAATTGGTACTGTTGTTGAAAGGAGCACTATTGGAAGGTCCACAGCTACTGAGAGGAGCACTGTTGATGTAAGTGTAAATGACAAGTGATTGTGTTATTTTATTTTATTTTTCCACATGGAATTTGAGGCCAACTAATCCAATACATTTTTTAGGATCAAGGACAAGATGGAGTGCTTCCAACTCAGTGGAGCATGACTTGAACCATAGGTATGCATGTAATTGCATCATGCATAACACTTAAAATATATTCATTTGTTTTTATTAATTTGTTGTTCTTTGTTTTTTTATTTTTCAGGTGATCCTTTTTGTATAGGTGATGCTTTTTGTATAGGGGATGCTGGAAGGAATTAAAGACTAGGGTATAATTTTTTATGTAATTAGTGGGTATACTTTTCTAACAATGTCTTCATATTAGTACATATTGGAAGGCATGCATCCTTGCTCACCATAGGTTTTTGAATTGGGTGGGCTACTACTCTTTTATTGACTTGCAAAGTTTTTGTTGGACAAGAATTTGTAACTAAGATTTAATATTGCAAGGTTATTTTGGTGGACATAAATATGTAACTAAGTTAATATTTCAAACTTGTGTATCCAAATTTCTAAGCTAATATTTCAATTTCAAGCTACTTGAATGCTCTTTCTCTGTTCCTTCCATGTTGAAGAGGATTCCATGGTACTTATTTATTACCCAAAAAAAAACTCAAAAAATAACAAATTAACTGAATAAGTTGTGAATGCAAAATTAATTAATTTAATAATTTATGAAATACAAAATTAAAATGGAAAAACACTTATCATATGGTAAAAATGTGTAAAACTAATAAATAATTAAATAAGTTACTAACGTAAGAAATGATTTATGAAAAGATTCTTAGGCTATGTTTGGTTTGATTTTTAGAAATTTTTTTAAAGAATTAAGATTTAATTTGGTTAAGAAATAAAAAATAAAAAATAATTATCATTTTTATATAATTTTATCTTTCGAGTGGTTAAAATTAATTTTTTACAAATTAAATATATTTCTTCATATTTATTTTTATTAGTTTAGTTTTTATTTTATTTTTTTAAAAGTTTGATTTTTTTTTTTAAAACAACAAACCAAAGGGATTTTAGATTAAATCAGGTTGTTTGGTTGTGTTAAAAAAAAAAAAAGGTTGTTTGGTGCTTTGGTACTAGTTAAATCAGGTTGTGTGGTTGTGTTAAACCAAAAAAAAAAAGTTGTTAGAATGCTTGAAAGGTCCCAAGGGAAAAATTGTCCATCAACATATATTTTGCTGATGTCAGCATGCTGCTGTAACGATTTAGTTCACGGCAGGGATCAAATTGTTATGCGAATATAAACCTCAGGGGACGGGATGTAATTTTCAAAATATTAGGGAAGAATCTGTAATTTAGCTAAACTTCAAGGGAGGTGTAGGTAATTTGCCCAAAAAAACAGTGCCAACAGAAAAAAATTATATTTATTTATTGTTATATATATATATATATATATTTTTATTAATGAGAAGTGCTTTGGCAAGTTGTTAACAATATGCAAATGTGACCGAGACTCGAAAACGACTAAAGCAATTTTTTTTTTTTATAACAAAACACAAAATTTGAATTTAACATTTAGAATAATAATCTATATAATAAAGCAGGACTGTTTTTGAAAATGTATCAAAATATAATCAGAAATACATTTGGTTTTAATGGTCTAGATTAATCCTAAGTATATATCAATGGTTTAGATACATTTACTTCCCGCCAAAACATTTGTCGCCCTTAGCCTTCCCACCTACCCATGTCTCATCCCCATTCCCTCTTTATTTATCTCTCCCTCTCTGTTCTCACATCTCTTTCCCATTCCCTTTCTCTCTCTCTCTCTTTCTTTCTCTCTCTCTCCCTCTCTGTTCTTATTCTTGAAGAGAACCACCAAAAACACCTGCCTCCCCAACTTTCCTCTATTTCTTCTTCTTGAATAGAACCCTCTCGGCTACCGCTATCGCGACCATCGACCACCTCTTATCTTCCTCGTCGGAGACCCAAACCCGAACCCCCCTATTTCTGTCCTCCTCCCTCTCTCCTAACCACAGCCTCAGTAACAAATCATATATACATATTTATATATAGAGAGAGAGGTATTACCACTTTGTCAAGGAGTTTAGAGAAGTAACACTCAGCCTGAACAGCGGTGAAATTACCCCAAAAATCACGCCAGATCAAACAATGGCCCTTGATGTCCAGAATGAAAAGCGTTAAGGCAGCACCTGCCATTGATGAGTTTTACTGCGAAGAGTGATCTATGTATTGGAGAGAAATGAATTACAAAGTTGGATAGAGAAAAGCAAACAAGATCTTGTTTGTAATTGAACATTTCAAATCTAGGACCAATTTGAAGGCTTCCTTGTATTTGTGTTTGTGTTTGATTTCTTTCATCTTTTTATTGGTCCTGTGGAAGAAAAAATTGTGTTTGGTTGTATTCTCGAAATATAGTTCCAGCCTTCTATTTGCATTTGACATTTGTTTACCGTTTTCAAAATATAATTCCATTACATATTTCAAAATGCAACTTGGCTTCCCGTTTGGCAGATTTTTCCGTTCATCTTCTTTATTGAAAAGCTTCCAAACGTTCTTTTCCATTTTAGAAAGCTTCACATGCAAAGAAATAAAGCTGAAGATCGCAAAAGATTCTTCACGGGTCGTAAATCAGAACTGAAGATTCTTCACGGGTCGTAGATCACAATTGAGATTCTTCACGGGTCCTCTTCTATCTCTAAATTGAAATGTGACCTTGAAATCTAAACCAAAACCATGAACCCCCTTCTCACCTATAAATTTGTATCCACCAGCTTCCACAAATCAACTAAATTGTAATTTGTGCGTTGTGGAAGATTCACCCTTCGGGCAACGTAACAACGACAAGAACGAGGTAAAGATATCACAAATTCTCTCAAAATATATATGGGTTATATATACAAATCACAAATTTTATGCTTCATTCCCAAATGCATCCCCAATTTTATTTGTGTCAGGCCAAATTTGTGAAGCGTATTCTTGAATCAAATGCCTACCGAAGAAGTACACATCCACCGTACCAACCCACTTTGTCACCAGTGACAACTATTCCACTCCTACTGCTCTGGTACGTATATCCTTCAATCGATCTGCCATGGAATAGTAGAAATGGGTTCTGATCTGTCTAACGGTGCTTTGAGTCGGTCAACTGCCAGGACAACTGGTCAATCGTCCCCCCGGTCTTCCAGCCGGTCGACCTCCACTCCCTCTAGGTCGACTGTATTCTACGTAAACCAAAAGAGAAAGGGGTAAATTGTTATAACTGAAAAATTAAGGATCAAAGTGAAATATAGTGTAAAGTGTAATTTACCCTACTACAAATTATAAAATTTTGGTTAAGTTTTCAAAGTAGCTAATTCGGGAAGACCCACGAAAACTACACAAAATTCATATTAACCGTTCTGTTACAAATATAGAAAGTACTTACATAATAATTATAAATGGGTAAGATTTTATGTTAGTCAGTAAGATCCACTTCTAATTTTTTTTGTTAATCCATATATATATATATTATGTTCGATTATGTATTTTATTTTATTTTTTTGTTTATTCCTAAACTTTTTATTGTATTAAGAGAGAAAAAGATGAAGAGAGAAAGAAGAGTACAGGACTGGTAATGGTCTTGGTAGCCCATGATGCCACAGTGTTGGTGCGAATGTTGTCCTTTGCCAATTCACAAGCCAACTTCTTTGTTAGCCGATTTATTGCTCCTAACAAAAAAAAAAATTATAACTATGCATTAAACTAGAAATAATAATACTAGATGCAACTTAGGCAAATACGATTCCAGTTTGATTCTCAAAATTGTAGGACTTATAGCAATATAATTCCAAATTCGACAAGGGTTTGAGCTAAATTTTATTAATCCAAATTAAATTTGTACAATGTTTGGACTTAAAGTTTTACAATCCAAAGAATATGAATTCAACTATTAATATATGTAAATTATATGTAATAAATTATGAATATATGCATAAATTATTGACTATTTTTTTAAATGATAATATTGCAATATAATATACTCTACTATTTGTTACACATTACTAAAACCAATTTCCTTATTTATGTCCTATGTTTGGCTATTTTTTGAGATATATTTTTTATTTTTAGAAAGTGCAATACATTGGTTTGAGACAATGATGATATTTGTGTGTGTGTGTGTGTGTGCGCGCGCGTGTGTGTGTTTGTTGAATTTGGACAACCCTATCTCAGCCCAAATTCTTGGAGTCAAACTCAGACTCAAATTTGGATTAACAATTGGGCTTGGGCATACCTATTTTTAGTTTAGTCTAATTTTGAATAAATTCTTAGCCCGACCAAACATGTCCAAATTACAACCCTACTAGTACCAAGTACACATAATTTTAGACACACGAAGTTCATAAAAACTATTCTCTTCTTCTACTCTCCATCTGCTTATTGTCTATTGCGTACACTTCATATAAAACACTCATTTATAAACTTTTTGCAATTAATATTCTACTTTGTCTTGTTTATCTATTTTTCCCAACATAATTTAACAACTTCAATTTATGAATCTTTTATTCAAACTAAAACATAATTGTTAATTGTAGATTATTCTTATTTGGTTCTGGAAACTGAAGTTATATGATCAAATAAATACACAGGACTTATGTTGTTTTTTTCCAATATCCACTTTGTTTATATGTGAATTGTGTGTTGTTAGATGAATGAAAATAATTCAAATGATAATCAGGACACAAGAATGTGGAACTCCATAACTGAAATTAGGCTAATAAATATGTTGAGAGAAGAGGTACAAAAAAATCAAACAAATGGTCATAGTACTGTGTGGACAGTTAGGCATTAGAATCATTTTGCAATTGAGTTGCAAAATCTTTATAGGTTTCGATACACACCAAAACAGGTTCGACAAAAATATCAGCAACTAAAAGCTGATTACCAAACTTTCAAGCGACTGCAAGCACAGACCAGTTTTTTTTTTGTAAAATTTATCACATTACAATACGCTTATTTTCAAAATTTTCAATTGATGTAGGCAACAAAAAAATGTAAAAAAATTTCAGGACAAAAAGATTTGAGTATTTTGAAGAAATGGCTGAAATTGTTGAAAATTGCTGTGCCACAGGGGCCTTGGCCCGTGCATCTAGACAAGGAACCCCTGATTCCGATGAAGATGATGAAATGCTTAATAAATTTTGGTCTCCTGGAGTTGGTGGGAGTAATGCGACTGAAGCCATTGCTGTTGACTTATTCGGCGATGAGTACATGGAACCATTGAAGGGCAAAAGTCACAAGAAGGGTCCTCTAAATAGCCAGACTAACAGTGGCCGTTCAAAAAGGTCACAGTCAAGTGGCTTTGATGATGTCTGCGCAGCTTTCAATACCTACATACAGGCGAAAAAGAAACAGTCCCGTGCACGATCAACAGATATAGAGGCTGTAAGTGCAGGTGGTGATGACTATTCCCTTGATGCATGTCAAGATGCCCTACTAGAGCTTGGGGACATACCACCGGTCCAGTACATTAGAGAATTGACACTATTCAAAGACAGGGAGTGGGCAGAGGTTTTTTATGCATACTCATGCGCATATGTGCCTAGCTATGATCCTAGCGTTGTAGTCAAGGGAGAAGTTCTGGCGAGATGGAGTTTATGGTTGTCTTTGTGGTTGTGCAACATGATTTGATGATTTTTGTTTTCTTTGTATACTTTATTTGTGGCACCTGATGACATGCTCTTTTTTATATTTATTTGTCAGAGCTTTTCTTTTATGTTTATTTGTATATTTTTCTGACACTATTTTTTTCATTATTTAGATGTGATTTTATTCTTCTGCGTTCATTCATGTTTGTTTTCTTATTTCTGCTCAAATTTCAATTTTACACACAACATACAATAATGGTAACAATTATCATGTTGTTAATCATTTATTATAATTATGATTTTATTTTCATGCAGCCGAAACAATATGTCGTCTGACAAAGAAAATAATGCAATGGTAGGCTCATTAGAGGAGGATGAGATTATTGAAGATTTTATGGACTTTTTAATGATTGCTTTTATGAATGAACATATGAATGCATCAACCAGCAGACGATCGCAATGAACTTGTCCATTCAAAGGTGATAATTACATCTTCAGTTTATTAAATGGCCATCTTGGAACAATGATGAACATCATGCGAATAAATGTCCAAACATTCATTTTTATTAAAAGACACCTTACTTCAAAATGGCTTTGTCGAAATTGAATATATGCATATCAATGTCGAGGAATCGCTTGGCACTTTTTTGTACACACTTGCACAAAATGATCGGCATAGACTACTGGCCAATAGATTTTAACACTCTACTAAAACTATTTGTCGGCACATCAAAATCATTGTGCGGGCTTTGAGCAAGCTTGCATCAACGATTATCAAACCACGTAGAGAATACGAGATACCAGCAAAAATTTTAAATGATAAGAGGTTTTTTCCCTAGTTCAAGGTATGCCTATACATTTGTCCTGTAAATTTTCAATAACATTAATGAAGGAATTTTGTTACTATGTTTTGAGAGTAATATCTACGTTTGTTTCACATTTAATGTCAAACTAATATATTCCGAGTAGAATTGTATTGATGGCACATTGGTCAATGCGTGGGTCCCTGCCTCAAAACAAAATACATTCTGTGGTCGCAAAGCCACGGTAGCGCAAAATGTACTCGCAGCTTACGACTTCAACATGTTGTTCACATTTATCAATTCAGGATGGGATGGAAGCGCCCACGACAACGCAGTTTTAGTTGACTCAATTACAAGAGCTGATCTACATTTCCCACACCCACCCCATGGTAAGTGTATAAAACTAACACACTGTACTATCTTAATTGTTGATATTTGTGTACATGTATTTGACAGATCATTGCAAACATTATTTAAATGTAGGTAAGTATTATTTAGTGGATGTCGGGTTCACGAATCTACCTAGATTTCTTGCCCCATTTCGTTCCCAACAATATCACTTGCAAGAGTTTTGTGGCCGTCATTATTCTGGACCCAAGGAATTGTTTAACCATCGACGTTCATCGTTACACAATGTCATAGAAAGAACATTTGATGTTCTGAAAAAGCGATTTCCAATATTGCGGTCCATGCCAAATTACAAGCCCACACGACAAGGGCCTCTCGTGATTGCATGTTGTGTAGTGCACAATTGGATCCATTTGTATATAGCTATGGACCCATTCTTCATGGAAGCTGATAATGAAATGGTGGCAAAAGCAGCAGCAGACAGGTTTGTTGGAGGCCAAGTTGACTACGTTGACATGTCACAACACAAGTTGTTGTACCGATCGAACTTGAGGGATGCAATTGCCACTGCTATGTGGGAAAATCATGTTGGCCATAGGTTGTGATGTGAAGAAATAAATGTGAATTTGATAGAATTGTATGTATTATTAAATTCGTCTATATATTTATAATGTGTAAAATGCAATTGCAGTTTGAACTATACTCTTTAAAAGAGTTTTGTTTTAAAATGAAATTGTCCAATTTGTTTGTGTCACTCCTCATTATAGTACAATAATACCGTCATTATATTTGTCTCCGATAGTGGTGTGGTTCGAATAGTTACGTGTTCATATTGCTTCGCTCAAATTTTTGGAATTATATTAGTGTGACAATTTTTTTGGGAATTAAATTCCCCATTTTTTTTCGTTTTTGTCAAAAAAAAAATTAAAATTGGACATTAACTGTAAATAGTACTAAAAATGAAAAAATAAAAAGGTAAGGAATTGTTGAACCTTTTTTACTTTAAAATTAGGACAAATAAAATGAAACTTTTGTAAATACAAAGTTGAGGAATCAAATTCTCCATTACACACATATAAAAATTATATAGAGCCACATCATCAATCTTTTTTAATTATATTAATAACACACTGTAATTCATAAATAAAAGATACATTCATGTCTCTGTCTCTCTCTGTGTATGTGTAGACCGCCCGAAACTCCTCTACGCGTAAGGGCGCGGATTGTGTTCATAGCTACTACAGTTCGGACTCCTGTCACGGTTCTGAATCTAATCTCACAAAGTGCAATGTAAGACTAATAAATCACCAAAGAGTCCAAATCCAGCAAATTGTTTTGGAAAATCGATTTTAATCAAAAAGCACCAAACATGGACTGTTTTGCCAGATTTCAGAGTCGCCACCTAAATAT